TCCGTCTTCCTCTAAAAGATCATTCTGTTTCAGTCTACCGCACAACGTCTCTGCTTCTCCTCCGCATGCTTGACGGATAGGAAAAATGATGAGGGAGTGTAGATGTACAAAGGGATGAATAATCAGAATGTCTGTGTCCCCTACCGATGTCATTCTGAGTTGTGAGGACATCATCTCTAGAGTAGCAAACAGCGCACAGAGCCCCCGAGGAACACGGTTCCAGTAACTGTACAAAAAGATCTCAGCTTAAATCAGAAAAATGACTGAAGTTTAGCAAAAACCCAAATGCTTGTCCTTTATCCAGCAGAGAAAAGAGTTCAATATGAACCATCACTGTCAGAAGAAACAGCTACTAAAAAAGTGACAGAAATCAGCTGTCTTTTACAGGGATACTGCACTTGAACAAGCAGATAAGGAGGTATAGACGAAGAGAGGGAGAGAGAGAGAGAGAGAGAGAGCTTCTCAAACAGCATTGTTCTACGCTCATCTGAATTCACAATAAATGTTCTGTTTGGTGTCTCAGAAGCACCAGGGTCCTTGCGGTTAAAATATTACATTTAAAGTAATTTTTTGGGTTTCCCCACTCAGCGCGATTTTATGTTTTAGTCAGCTTGAGATCATTTCCATCTAAACTGGTTAAATTTCTCTTAAGCCTAAGTAAATGTTTTGGGTGCAGTATGATAACCATATTCAAACGCAGTCACATTATAGAGCCAACGCGCAACTAAAACAATGTTCTTCTGCAAAATGCATGCAGTTTTGTTTCTTATCCGCTAGAGGGCCAAAAGTTACATAGTGTTCCTTAAATTTCAGAAAATTCCCATCTGGGGGACTGGCAAAATGATTGAAATGTTTTGAAGGGAGAATTATGGTGTCATTTCTCAGGTCAAGGTTATATATCATGGGAGTTTCACTTTTGGACTGGTCAAGAGTCTCATAAAAACCCCTGCAGGCTTGCTCACAAAGCCAAAAGTGCAGCAAAGCAGATATTCCATACTCACTCAATCACTTTTTCAATCTACTTGCATTGTGCTGTGGATGAACTTTGCACAAATTTCCCCAAATAACTCTGAAATGACAAGTGACATTTTCAGTCAAATCTGAGGCTGCGACAAGAAAGCTTGTTTTATGACTTTGCTATGATTTCTGTTTTCATATTGATGGGAAGAAACTTTGATTTATGTATGCTCAGTGATGAGGGAAAAATAGTCTCTTTACTGATTTGAGTCCGTCTATCCGCTCAGTCAAATGAAGCGGGGTTTTTTTTATAAAATAATGGTAATATGAGCCTGTATGGATGACAATAACAGGTTTTAAATTCATTAGTATGAGTTACATCACGTACAATTTTATCTAAAATCATGTCAAAAATAAATTATCCGTCAATTATTTTAATCACTGACTGATCTACTTGCGTCGTTTTATGTAACTAGCTTCAGATATAATCGTCTGCTAAATAATTAAATGTAAATAGAACTTAAGTTATGTTAATATGTAGCCTATTATATAGGTATTCAAATAAAGGTAATGTTATGTTGAATCAGCAATGTGAAAAAATGAGTCAAGCTGTGTGCATAAAACAATAATAGTGCATTTATTCTTTCACATTCATCAAGAAATTAAATAGGATTTATGAATGGCAGTGAAGCAACGTATCTGACGCTGCAGGGCACATAATGACAGCATGGCGAGTTCATTCATTACATTCATACAGCCCATTCTATTTGGTGGCAGATATGAGTTTATCTATTACTAGCAACGATTCCAGCATCTACACTCTAAAAAATGGGTTGTTTCAACCCAAATTTGGGTCAAATATGGACAAACCCAAATGTTAGGTTAAAAATGTCATTTAAAATGTTAACCCAACTTCAACTTTCAACGGTACATTTTTTAATTACATTTAACCCAACATTTGGGTTGAAACAACCCAACGTTTTTTAGAGTATACAAATAAAAGCAAAAAAAAAATACAAAATTAAGGACAGAAATGTCAAAACTAAGCATTAATAATAAAAAGATACTAGTTAATAATAATGTTTCCGAAACATTTACGAAATTTCGGTGTAAACAATGAGTGACGTACACGTGCGAGAGATCACTTCCAGCGCTTGCGCAGACCAAAGCGCTCACACCCTCAGATCACTTGAACATGGTTACATGAGGTAAAAACAATATAAATACCGTTCGTTTTCTCACACAAACCACTCGTTTCGTGTCTTAGGCCATCAATGTGTACGAGTCATTAAATCACATTTAATTTGGACTTCTCTGTGCATGCCTCTTTGAGGTGGACCCCATAAAGCTCCATTATATGACTGACGGACAAGAACGGTTTGACCTAAAAATATCAAAATTGATAATACTGTGGAAACAAAGTCACCTACATCTTGGATGCCCTTGAGGTAAGCTAAAACATATCACAAATTAATTTCAAAGTGAACTATCCCTTTAAGTGCCAACAAACTCATCACAAATGACATCACAATTGTGCTGCAAGACAGCACTACAAAACCTACACCATAACAAAACATAGGATATGTTTTTTATTAAAAAAAATGACTGCTTTATTAACACTTTAAGTTTTGTTATTACATATATTAGTTAGTATATATTATTTCATGATGTTTTTCTCCTTTTGGTTTTGGTTAGATAATAACCCTGCAGCATCTATGCAACAACTCCAAACCCTCTATGGATGTTTACATAAAATCTAGTTTCTGAGCAGACATCTTTGTTCAAAGTGTTGAATAAATGATTCTGTCTCTGCCGCCTTCTGAAAGGAAAATCCTGCTGTTCACTTACAAAAGAAAAAAAAGAATCACGACACTGGAGTAAACCAGGAAATGGAGGTGGGAAGATCTGACAGCTGAGACTCATTTCAGTCTTTTTTTTCCTCCCCCTTTTAACTTCACAACAAATATTTCACTAATGTCTCCCTAAAGCCCCATTTGGCTTTCATTGATAAAAATGGTCAGTGGAAACATTCAAAGACGCCCACTGTCTTCAGGAATACGAGTCTGAATAAAACGGAATTCAAATTTAGTTTGAAGCTCACTTGTGGACTCACAGTCTGAACCTCAAACACACAGTAACTGCATAACTTTGTTTGTTCTTGAATGCTGAATATTATTTTCATTATTCTAAAACACTAAAAAAGACATCCTACCTTTCAGGGGAAGTATGTAGGAGTTGTGATGTAGAAAATGGCAGAGGAAGCATGCATCAGTCATTTACACAACAAAAGAAAAAAGAAAAACAGTAGGAAACCTGGAACCACTATGATCTTTAAAAACTCTAAATCTACTGAAAAAAAAGATTTTTAATGTGAAAACTGTTTCCTGTCTCAACGGATTTTTAATTGGAATAACTTTGGATGTAAATATAGCCCAGGATATAAGTTCTGCCAGGATTAAACTAATGTTTGTTATATCTTACACTTTAAAAAGAACATGATCAATGAGTTATGACAACATGTGTTTTTACATTGCTTTAAAAAGTTAAGCAATTGTTTTAAATTTTTAAAGTCAGTTCAATGTATTTTAAGTTGAATTGACTTAAACATAAAAAGTTGATTGTACTTAAAAATTTAAAGGGTTAGTTCACCCAAAAATGAAAATTAAGTCATTAATTACTCACCCCCATGCTGTACCAACCCCGTAAGACCTTCGTTCATCTTCGGAACACAAATAAAGATATTTTTGATATCCGTATAAGATGACGTACTGCTTGTAAACAGAACGTTTTGCGCCTCCGGCTATATCAGTACGTCATCTTATACGGTAGGGGGCGGTAAAACTCCTAAGCGGTGAGCAGCCGGTAACAAAAAGTAGTCGAAGAAGAACGGTCTCGTCTCAGTTCTCGCGCATGCGCCCATAAGGAAGTAATGGAAAGTCGAATAAAGTCGTTATTTACGTGTTTTTTTTTTTCGCACAAAAAGTAGTCTCGTCGCTTGATTAAGTTATAGTTGAGCCACTGTAGGCACATGGAATATTTAAACCTTTTCTTTTAATGACTTTCTGGGCTGTCAAGAGGCAGTCCCTCAGGCTGTCTATGGAAGAGTGATCCAGCTCTCAGATTCAATCAAAAATATCTTTATTTGTGTTCCGAAGATGAACGAAGGTCTTACGGGGTTGGTACAGCATGGGGGTGAGTAATTATTGACTTAATTTTCATTTTTGGGTGAACTAACCCTTTAAGGCAGAAATTTATTTTACAGTGGCTATTGATGAAGCATTGATTTATATAAAATAAACATAAAAATGAATTAATTTTGTCAAAATTTTATATGCTTCATTTAGCTATAGGATTATATCCATTATGCAAGGTTTATTTGAAGGTTTAATTTAAAAAAAATATTCTCGAGGGAAACGTACACCTACATTTTAGAGATTTTTTTATAGAGAAGGCGGTAAACGAGTGTGACAGACAGTAGTAATAACACTACTACGGTTAGACCTGAGACTCAGCACAAACTGAAGCACAATTTAATTGTGATTACTTGAGGCTTTCATCAAGACCTGGGAGAAAAATATTCCCCAATTTAGGACAGAAGCCTCAGACATCTGAATAACAGATTTCACAGCTGAAGTGGATCCAAATGTGCCGAGAAACGCTCTATGATTTCTGTAATAATTGCATTTGTGTTTTGCAAGCATACATTTAAAACCAAGGCTTTTTGAACCTCTTGTGATGAATGATGAATATATTGGAATGAGTAACACACTAAACATTTTTGTGTTTTTTTAGACAGTGGGAACCACAGAGTAGCCATAAAGGACAAATTGTCTAGCATTTTTGAAAAGACAACAATGTGTCTGTGAGAGGAATATAAAGAGCTATAAAGAGAATCTGTAAAACCATATAAAATAATCTATATCTGACTGGCAAGTGCACGGTGAAATCACAAGTCAAACTTCCCATGAGCTTCAAAGGTGGTAATTTTTAACAAGATCCCAAATCTTAACATCATGTGCAACAACACAATCACAACTCGTGAATGCTGCAAAGAGAGAGCCTTTATGGTAAGAGAGTTGTGAAAATTGGTAATGAAAAACAAAATAATTCTTTCTTTCACAAAAAAAACAAGCAATGTACAGAAATGCTGCATGAGATTTGAGCACATCTGTGAGCACACACACCTTCAATACAAATGCCCTGGTAATGCCATGCTAATGTGTTATAGGTTCTTTCGATGTGAATGGCTCAACAACACTTCACAGTTATAGTGTATAGCCTTAATGGGCTTTTGTCCTGCTAGATGTGAGAGGAATACTTCTGACACAAGGAAACCAGAAAACCCTCACCCCCACCAGTTAACATATTGAACCACTTGTGAGTTATGACTAGCCTCACACTTACTATAAGAGGACAACCTCACCCTCCCTTCATTCCCAGCGCAGCATGATGACACCGGCAACTCGTTATTAAATCAGAGGAAAGCAGCGCTAAAAATGCATTTTCATGAATTGCGTTATTGCTCTGTTGGCCTAGATATGAATGTGACATAAGGCCTTGTCAATAAGACATCTCAGATCTGTTGGCAGACACACAGCTGCGAACTACTGAATTATTTTAGACAAAAGTGCTACAGGATTATTCTAATTGCCAAGCACTTGGACAGAAGCAGAACATAGCAATTAGTAAAAAGCAACACTGCCCTCTAGAGGAGAGCAAGTGAATAATGCAATGGTTTTATTTTGACCCATCCAGACAGTATAACAATATAAATTCAGACTTTAGTTAACTTGAAACTCAATGAACAATGTAATCAATTGACATTTGGGGACAGTTTATCAGGTACTCCAAAGTCATTCTGCCCGCACGATGAAATGTGTAAATGCCTTTACTTGAATACACCTGAATAATATCTAATCGAGATATTATAAGCTGTACTGCTTTTTTGGTGTGGTTTCCTCAAAGGCAAAAAAAGTTCAAAATACACTGTGGGTACATCTACTTTTCAAATGCCGCCTTCTTTGAACCGTGGAAGTGTGCAATTCACCTTCAAAGGAGAATTAGTTCCTCCAAATCGGAACATCCTGTATTTATCAGGCATATTTATACACATTACCCTCTGAATATATGGTCCCCCAATGCGATTCTACCAAAAACACACGCTTTTATTTGCTCACGTAGCTCGCTATCTCTTTATCCAGGCTGAAGGCAAAACGGTGGTTGAGGAAGAGGAGCTGACCATGAGGAAGGAGTCTGTGCAACAATGCGTCCACTCGATCGCTTTTCAGCAACACCTGAAAATGACAGCTAAGTCAGCCAGAGTAGTGTCAAATAATTAATAGCTTGGTGGTCTGCCTGTTTTGAATGTGTTTCCTTGTTCACTGCCTGACAATTAGTCTATAACTCTATATATATATAGAGAGAGAGAGAGAGAGTATATAACTCTGGAGTAAACGTCTGAAGAAAACACCCCTGAGCTCATTGGGTTGCTTTTCTATGGATGTAACGATTACAGTGTAATCAACATGTATCTCATACATAATGAGACGCATTTACTTATTTCAATTGTGTCCACTTTCAGGCATATAGGCCAGCAGACATAAGAAAATATTACACTCCGTCTACTTCTTCATAAGATTATGGGAATTCAATAGAGGTTCAGTTCAGCAATAAAAAAAGTCATTTTCAGAATCTTAAAACTGCATGAGTCATTTTAATGACATAATGAAAACACAAAACATCTCAGGCACAGACAGTCACTCAAACACACAACAAGAATAACGTTTTTTGTTTTGTTTTTACAGGGCCATTCGAAAGTTGAGTCAGCAAGATCTCTTTAAAAGAAATGAATGCTTTTATACATCAAGGACCTAATAACTGTTGAGACAGCTGTCATTATTTTGAAAGATTTTAAATTGTAATAATATTTTGCATTATTACTGGTTTTATTGTATCAAATATATCAATGCAGCATTGTCAAATATAAGAAAACTATTTCAAAAACGTTACAGAATCTTACAGACGAGTATATCCTCCATTAATTGGATACATTTACAGCTGCACCCAAACAGACAACACAAACAAACATGTACATGCATGCACACAGACAAGATACTACAAGAACTACTGGATGTCACATATGTAAGGGTATTAAAAAGTGACATAAAATGATTATAATGTGAATATTTTTCCCAAATGATAGAGGAAAGGAATCAATAAAGAGATGCAATTAGTGGCAAACAACCGAACAGCATTCATTTTTGGCTGTTATAGCACACCTCTCCTCAACAAGCCACGAGATCACTCAAAGTTATGCTAACAATTTCATTCAGTTTAGGTTTAGCTTCATTAAGTCTTGAACCCCAAGTACTTCAGTAGTAATAGTCACGTTTACCAGAGCAAGCTAATACTCATAAAAGCCTGTTCACACCAAGACCGATAACTATACATATAACGATAACTATTTTAGCAGAAACACCAACTTCAATGTTCTGTTTATTATAAACTTTATATACTTTTTTTGTTTGCCGCTTTAAATGCTCAAGCTCTTTAAAGCAGGATGGATCATTTTAAAAAGCACTAAAAAGGGTGCCAAACAAGTTATTGTTGTGGTGTGGCTATTCTTTTGAATTCAGAATGATTTTTAAAACTATATCTTTATCATTATAGTTATCTTCCTTTATTGAAAAAATAACTTAACGCTAACTATAAAGATAACTCTAATCTCTACATCACCATTCACACCAGTGCATAGTAGTTCTATTTATTTTTGTATGGCACTTTAAAAGCAGAATGAATGCTGATTGACTGTCAGTGTTTATATCATTCATCAGCTGGGAAAATAACGTGATTTCAAGGGTATAGTTCCTTTGTGCTGTCATGATTATAGTTGTGGTGTGGACTTTGCTAAAAAAAAAGATATCTAAAACGATTTTTAGAACTATATCTTTATCCTTATCGTCCTTAGTTTTAACAGGTCTTTAGTCCTAGAAAACCTTACCTCAGCACCAGGTCCCAGCAGACGAAGCTCCTCCAGGCAGTGACGTGCAATGTTGCGAAGCGCTCCCTCTGCGAGCAGAAGGTTCTCGTGTGGTCTGCAGACAAGAGTGAATGCTAGTGACTGCACCCCCAGCCACAGAACAACACTCCGGTCGGGAAACAGCTCTGCATTGCCCAGGGAAAACACCCCCTTGTCAGCTTCCCCCAGAGCAACAGCCTCCTCACCCAGCACAGCTTCAGTGCTCAGACTGCCTGAGGCTTCCCTACTCAGAGCCACCGCACTCCTCACCTGTCTAGGAGAGAGGAAGGCCAAAAAAAAAAGAGATTATTGTTCATCATACAAACATGTACCATAGTACTGACAAAATACCGTCGTAATTGATAATGCAGATACTTGGGTTGCATCCAAAATAACATACTTCTCTACTATATAGTAGGCTAAACAGTATGTGACAAGAGTAGAGTGTCCGAATTCAGAACTCATAAAAGAGCAGGCCAAATGAACCCGGATGAAGGACTACGTCCGGCGAGATTCTGATGTGTGCGTAGGATATGGACACTTTATGTATCCCATGGGGCCAAGCGAGTGCATTGTGAATATATTCCATCTCTATAATGACATAATGTCATTCTTCTATATAGATCAGTGAAGCAGCCCCACTGACCCTGGTGTCACATGACAATGAAAACATGGCGAATGTAGTAGCCTATGTCCTGATTAAATTAATAATATAGTACTTTCTTGACAGTCACAATGAAGCCTACTTTACTCATAACAAGTACCTGCTCAAGAGTAAGGATTTCGGGTGCAGCCTTGGTATTCAAGTTTGCATGAAACTAAAGTTTTTCTTATTGTTACCTTTGTTATTAATGCTTTACATAAACATTAGTAGGTTTGACTGTACGAAACTGAATGGGTTACGTTTTTGTAATCATTGTTATTTAATTTAGCGTTAATTGTCGGGCGGGCAGTTCTGGAAATCTTCTCTGTGACTGGTAAATTGTTTTATCATCTCACCTCGCTACCACGTGGAGTTTCTCTTTCTGCATCAGTCGCCTCTGCTCCGGTGTGTAATCACGACCATCTCCGGTCTCTGGTCCGAATACACGCGCGTACAGTATCCGGATCTCGCCTGCGGACAGGGCGCTCACCGGGCACACCGTGTGGATTAAGAAACACAGTACCATATCTGATTTAACATTTCATGAAGACCATACGAATACAGACACAATTAGCAGACTTGCTTTCAATAGGGAAAAGTGTCATTCTGCCATTGTGGACAAACTCTGCATTATTATTTCCGTATTTGGTCACATGACTGTGAATCAGCTGATTATTGCGCAGTTCCGCTTTCAACTCTAGATGGCGCCCTTGGGTGCTGTTGAACTGATGCGTCTAACTGTTCTAACTACTTTGTTTGGGACATAAATATTGATTTGAGTGATTCTGATGTGCTTTATAGCCATACAAGTTCAAGACCAATATATATATATATATATATAAACTACTCACCTTTATCTTAGGATATACATTTGCGTTTTTTATTTATGGTGGTTGCATACGAACAGTATATGCAGCACATTTAATACATGAAAATAAAATAAAATAATAATAATATTAATATATATTAATATTAATTAATATATTATATTAATATATTAATTGTTATTGTTATTATTATTCTTTTTTAATTAAATATTATATATATATATATAATTTTTATTTGTATTATTTTAATATTAATATTATTATTATTATTTATCATACTGTTCTTATGCCACCACCAAAGGTTTTTACAAAATATGCAGATCTACAGTAACTAATCTGGATTTTGAGTATACCGTATGCTATTTGTGAATTGTAACAAATCTGTACCTTCATATAGTTCTTTGCCCAACAAGCTCGAATATACACAGAGATATTCTCCAATGTGTACATGTTAAACAATGACGCAGCGCATGCAGATTAAGTTGGATGTATTGGAACACATGCACTTGGACACACAAAGAACAGCTGTTTTGCTTAACAACTGCTCGTCATGCTCACTTAAACCATGAGGGAGGACGACACACATCTTCCCCCACTTCCTGCTACACTGACCTTACATAAACACACCACAAACAATAGTGTAACATCCAGCACACAACCTTTACTGCGAGATCACAAAAGAAGAATCAATGTTCTTATGTTAGAAGAAACAAGACTGAGACTAGACTGATAGCCTCCCCAGCTGATACTGGATAAAAATAAAAGGTTTTACTGAAGACACAGGAAGACAGGAAACAAAAGCCAAGGCCACATTTAGAGGATCTTACTGCTGCAAAAGCACTAGGATGTGGTTACAATGATGGCAAGTCTCCAGCCTCTGGCAACCAATTCTTGTAATATTTAGATTCAGAGGCGGGTTAATCAAACAGAAACACATTGTCAATGGAAACTCAGTATGCGTAAGATCCTCTTACTCATATTGGTTACTCATGCAGTTTCTGCCTTCAAAATTTTAATTAACAGGAAAAAATTAGACATTAACTCCAGCACACAAAACATACTGAATGGATAATTTTAAAGCATTTAAATTAATATATACATTAGGCACCTTATTGCAAAGTTACTGTTCACTTAAAGCAGCTTACCAGATTATTTTGTATTACAAGTTTTCTGAAAAGTTGTTTAATCACTCCATGAATCCAAAAAATCCCTCTGTAAACCTTCAGAGTATAGTCAATAATATAACTACATTTTGGTCAAGTGGAGATGTCTGGCTCAGTGCGTTAGAAAAATATGTTTGAGAAAACTGCCTCAAAGGGATAGTTCGCCCCCAAAAAATAAAAAAATATTTTAAACAGTTGACAATCATTGGCTTCAATAACAGGAAAAAAAAATACTGTGAAAGACATGGGCTACCGTCAACTCTCTGGTTATCAACGTTCTTTAAAATTTCTTTTGCGTTCAGCAGAAGAAACTCCTACAGGTTTGGAACAATTTGAAGGCGAGTCAATGACCATTTTCATTTAGTGGTTAAATATCGTTAAATAATAGATATGTAGTGATAAATTGTAATTAAATAATCCATTAATTTGAAGGACTCTCAAAACTGAGCATTCATCACATGCAATAGTTTTGCGTTAAAATGTGGAACATTTCATCAAAAAATAATTTTTGAAAGTCCAAAGTCACAAGATCATATCACATCTGTTATAAAGATTCACAATCCATATTAACTGATAGTGTTGGGTGTGCATCCATTTCCTGCTTAACAAAACAGTTAAATTCACAAAGATCTACATTTGAATAAAACTGCATGGCTGAGGACCAAACCTTTTCTTGACCTCCATCAACTACACAAAAAAGCTATGGGATTCAGTTTTTTTAATGTTTGTAAAACTTTAAATTTCTTCTTTGCTCATACTGATATGTCCCCAAAAACAGTCGTGCATGAACAGGTCTGACAGTCTACCAGGCCGTTAGGGAACGGCCGCCTCCTCCTTTGTGGAACGGCTTTGGAATGCACACGTGTGCAGGAACACGTGCTGGTGCTTGGCAAACCACAAGGTCCCTACAAGACCGGTATATTTGAAAAACAAGTGACTCACTCAACCCCCTTTACCAATGAATAACAGCACACAAAGCTATGAGATAAAGACATGATTCAACGAAGAGTTATTACCCCAAACTCCAAGTTTATTCAGGAATGTATAAACCAGCCTCTCAGTCACACATGACCAATAAAACACACTCAGAAAGATAAAATTGACAAAACACACTTGCGGGAGAGAGAATTGTAACTCAATTGTCACTGGTTTATGGACAATTAGAACTAAATCTCTTCTTAGAACATTTGTGAACACTAATATGGTCATCACTTGCTGACCAGCAGCAAAAGTCAGGATTCTGCCCCTGAGTTAAAGCTGTCAGTCAAAAAAAAAAAAAAAAATGACAGTGAAACAAACGTCACCAGGGAGCTTTACATACGTCTCAAATTTAGGGGGTAAAAATAATTAAATTCATTATTCTGTGATATGGAAATATACATAATTGAGACATTCAGAATGCTTAAACAAATTTATACAATAAATGGAATATTAATTGGTTATCCTTGGGCATTATCCTATTATCATTGGGCAACTGATCAAATGTGAGAAAGGGGGCAAAATGAACGCATAAAAGCACTTATTCACTTCAACAACTTTAAAAAGTGCTCATTAGGAGGGGAAAAAAGCAAGTTAAAAGAGTAAATAATTGAAAACTGACATTGGTTAGGACAGACCAGTGGGGGAATAAAAATACAGGTTAGTAAATAAAAATAAAACTTTGTATGTGAAAAAAAAAAAAAAAGTGTATGTGTAATAGATGGCAGTGACATATAGCGGTGTGCTTCAAATTCGAGATGAGGGTGGTGAATAATGGCAGTTTATCAAACCAAACTAGGTGAGATACATAGAAACCTCTCTGCCTCGTTTGAGTTTGCAATACTAAATCAATACCAAAACCTCAGAACAAGTCCCAGAAAACACCTATTCAGGACTCTGCAATCTCATGTGTGAGGGCAGCATTTGAGCAAGTGAAGGCAGTAGAATTATGAGGGATTGTGAGCACATGCGTCTCAAAGTTTTTTGAGACGGCTGTACATGTCCCTCTTGCTGCGTTCTCCAGCCCAAGTGCGGCTCCTAAGACGGAACTTTCTCAGATCTTCTTTATAGTCTTCATGATGCATCGGCCTATAAGCCTGAGGTTCACACACCGACTGCAGAAGGGAAAAGAAAACAAAGCACACATTAGCAGCTTGAAATTAAGAAACAAAATCTACTTCGATATATAGGAATACAAAGATTGTGAAACTGCGCATACCTTGTGAAGTGGGAAAAAGTCTTTGTAGCCTCCCTTCAGGATATAGAGTTCAGGGTAATGGAGGTTGGGGTACTGCTTCTCATTCAAATCTCGATCTCTTTTCCGAACATAGCGGCACATCCGTGGTCCGCGTTCAGATGAAAATTCACAGTGGAAAACCAGCAGGACACGCTTATCTGGGCATTCCGAGAGAATAGGTTTCTGCAAAAAGTAGTCTTCAATTTGATCCTCTTGATGGAGGTTAAGAGCACCCTGAAAGATAGGCAAAGATGAGTCATCAAAATTTGCCTCACACAAATACTACTGGATGCAACTTGCATCAAAGCTAAATCACAAGCATCAGTCTCACCTTAATATGGCCACCATCATATTCATAAGGATAACGGCAGTCGATGACAAACAGCCTCTCAACCAGATGATTGTATTGTCCGTTCATTGCTTTAACCATCTGAAAATAAAGACAGAGAATGAGATTGTGAAAGATGCCAATGCACATACTTCGTATTGACAACGCCAAATTTTGCTGGTCTGTTCGTCACCATGCAACTGCTTCTTTTGTATGGACTTTCATTTATAATGTATATGCTAATTCTAAAATGCTAAAACTTACAATCTCTGGAGTGATGTACTTCAATTCTTGGTGTTTTCCTTCTACCGTGGGTAGCGCAGGAGCCTTCATATAAAAAGAGTGAATGGTAAGTAATAATGCAACATGCACAAGGTCTAATACTTTGCAGTTACACTCCAAGACTATCTATTTTTATAGTATCAGATTGTTTTGTCCCGTCTGTTGCTGTGGTTATATTACTGTCGGTATATCATTACAGTTTCATGTTCAAATTGCACATTTAAATACGGTTACAATTTCAGTGCAAGCATGCAGTGAATAAACTCCAATTGGCCATTTCGTTCACGCACTTAACATATGTCTGTGATTGGCTACTATGATCAACGCTTCAAAACCATCTAATTAGAAAGCTTTGACGCTCTTCACAGGATGATTACACAGAAGCGCTTGAAAGCAACCACCCATCAGTGGGTCCCTGGATGATATCACCACTTTTGTTAAAATTTAGTATTGAGGTACTGGTACTTTTGACAAACATAAAAAAAAACCTAGCTTACACTTACCTTGGTGAAATCTCCAATCATATTACTAGGATCTGAATCCAACATTCTTTCAATTTGAGAGTGATTAAATGACTTGGATCTTTGAACCTATAAGGGTAAGGGGCAAAGTTAGGAATCAAATTGTGTCTGCTGATCCATTTGTTTTGAGTTATTTTTTCCAGTGTGGACTGACCTGATGTATAACATCATCTTGTTCTGCAAGTGCAACTTGTGTCCCTGCTAGGCTCCGCCTCCTCTTCACTCTGACTGGCGTGTTCTCATCTTGAGGCCTCTCGGGTCTCTTCAATGGGATACGCCCTCCCGGGCTTGGCATAGAGGGAGAACGGAACAGCCCACGT